CCCGAGCGGGGAGCCCCTTGGCCCTGGCCGACGCGGGGCCACATGTGAACTACGGCTGGGATGAGTCCATCCGCCTGCGACACCTGTACACCGCCAGCCTGCACGGCTCCACCAGCTGCTTCTTGCGCATCCGTGATGACGGCTCTGTGGGCTGCGCACGGGGCCAGAGCATGCACAGTTTGCTGGAGATAAAGGCAGTCGCTCTGCAGACCGTGGCCATCAAAGGCGTGTACAGTGTCCGCTACCTCTGCATGGACACCGACGGCAGGATGCAGGGACTGCCCCAGTACTCCGAAGAAGATTGCACTTTCGAGGAAGAAATCCGCTCTGATGGCCACAACGTGTACAGGTCCAAGAAGCACGGCCTCCCTGTCTCCCTGAGCAGTGCCAAACAGAGGCAGCTGTATAAGGGTAGGGGCTTCCTGTCCTTGTCCCACTTCCTGCTCATGATGCCCAAGACTTCAGCAGGGCCTGGAAACCCCAGGGACCAAAGGAACCCCAGGGACCAAAGGGACCCTAACACTTTCTCGTTGCCCCTGGAAACTGATAGCATGGACCCATTTGGGATGACCACCAGACATGGGCTGGTGAAGAGTCCCAGCTTTCAAAACTAATAAGGCTCTGGCGTCCCCCATGTCCCTGAGGACCAGGACACCAAATCTGAGTGGGCTCCACTGTGCATCTACAAGAACAGTCTTGATTCCATGTCCTGTTTAGCTTTAGGAAGAAACATGTAGAAGTTGTACATATCCAGAGTTGTGCATTGGCTATGCCCATATCTAGTGGATAGACTTGTAAGATTGTAAATCGTAAGCCCTCTGCTTGCCTAGCTGCTACCTGATCACCCCCACCCTGCCCCCTGTAGTTGCTGGACAGTTGCTGTGCTTCCCTGGTCCTACTGAATATCTCCACCGATGGGGAGTTCTCTCCCTATGGAAACATTCTTAGGCCAAGGTGAGACTCTCTCATTCTTTCTCAGCCTTTGCAGCAGGGTATCCAGGAGACATGCAGTCACTTTAAACTCGTGTACAGGTGACCCGCTCCATGGGGTAGTGGGTAAATCCAAGCTGAATGCATGTCTGAATTGATCCGGGTCTCAACTCCATGGACTATTTGCTTCCCATACATCCCCCTCCAAGCCAGAACTGACTGGGGACAGGCATGGCTTACCAGGCTTCAGGAGTTGGGGAGGCCCAGACCCCCTTCTCAGCCCTGAGAGATCTTGAGAACTACTCTTGAGGCTGAACTGCTTGTGGTGGTCTGCTCCAAGGCAGATAAGACAGTTCACCCACTTTCCCTATTCCTCTCCTTTTTTTTTTTTTAAGTTTAATTTCTTACATGAGTGAGAGACTGAGAGTAAGAGAAAGTACCCCCAGCAGATCCGCCATACCACAGTCTACCCTCAGCCTCAGTTAGCCCCGATAGCATTTGCACACCAGCATCCCGTGTGTGGATGTCGTGTGTGATGGGGCCTTAGCAACAGAACCCAACAGGCCACACCTCCACCTGAGCTCCCCTTCCTTTCTTTAGAGTTAGGGCTACTGACCTAGCTACAGGTCACCTGCCCTATGCCCATACCCTCCTCCGTCCTGCCCCCACCCCCGACCTAAGCAGTCATTGTTCCGGGGCTTCCCAGCCAGTCGCTCCACCATGTCAAGCCACACACTTTCCAAAACCAGAGGAAAGATGTGAAAGCCCCAAGTCTTGCCAACAGCAAAAGCATCCAGGGAAGGTTCGTTCCCGTACTCAGTTCCAACTCGATATTTATGAGTAATTTATTTTGATATGTACATCTTATATTTTCCTACTTTTATTTATGCCCTGAATTATATTTATGTATGTTCATGAGGTCTGTTTTCTACATTAAAACAGTTTGTACCAAAAAAAAAAAAACAAAAAAGGCAAGTTGGCTGCCTGCAGTTCTCTATTTGTATGCATCCATTTTCCTTTCTGCTTTTCTCAGCCTTGTGGTGACATAACCCAAGTATGGGTCAAATGCTGGAACCATGCTCTTGGCCTTTCTAGCCACCAGAATTGTGAGACAAATAAACCTCTCTTCTTTACAAATTACCCAGAACTGCATTGTATTATAGCAATGCAATGATAGCCTAAGACATTGGGAAATTACTTCAAAAAAAGTTGACATTTGAATTACAACATGAACAAAGCAGATACAACAAGAACAAAGTGACTCAGAGAAACAAGGAGGGCAAAAACATTGAAGCAGCAACTGGATGTGCATGTTTGAGGATGAGTGTGGCCATCATTGTCCTTACTCCAGCTTGATAACCACCTGCTTCTCAGCATCTCCACTGGATATCTAAGATATTTCAAACTTCACATCTCAGCACCTGAATTCTTCACTTCCTCTCCCCAACCATAAAATTTGCTCCTTGAAGCCTTCTTCACCCCAGCTAATGACAACTCCATTC